TCTCCCTCCCTCCCTCCCTCCCTTCCACTCTATCTAAAAAATAAAAGGAAAAAATATCCTCGGGTGAGGTGTAACAACGACAACAGAAAGGACTAATGGATAGCGAAGGGGAAAGGACAGCCACTCCGAGGTCTCAAGGGAGAGGAAGTAGTGGAACAAGTCAGTAAGGAGGGAAAGGAAAAAGGTTCCCACCTCCCATATTCATGATGCTAATCCTACACCCTTTTAAAAATCTTTTTATTTCATCCCATGCATTTCCTGGCTCTCATCCTTCCCACTTTCTCCTGGTTCTCACCCTGGCAATTGCCTTCAAAAAGCTCCTCTCCTTGCCATGGTGGATCTTAACCAGCTGAGGGGGGTGCAGCGAGGGGCTGCTGGGTCAAACAGACCTGGATTCAAAACCTACCTCCACAGCTTAATCACAGTGTGACTCTGGGCTGGGCCATTGAAGTGTCCACCCTAAGTCTGCATCTCCTGTCTATAAGGTGGAGATCATTCTGCCTCACTGGGATGCTGAGGGTGAGAGAGAATGGTTGTGACATGTTCTAGCAGCATGCCCAGCACCTAGTAATTTCTTGAGAAATGGTAGCCTTTCCCGCCTACGACCTGCCACCAATTTTGCACCACTCCGCCACGCAAGGTAGGCCTGCCCCACCCAAGAGCCAGCCAGGAGGCCAACACAAGGTGAGCAGAACCTCAGGCCTCCCTGTGGCTCCCCCCTCCACCTGCAGAACGTAGGTACTCAGGCAGGTTACCCCTGGCTACCAGGTGCTATGGGCCCTTTAAACTGCCCACAGATCTTCAGGCTGACCCGAAGCAAGGTGGGTGACGACAAGGCACGCATCCTAATCCGAAGCCTCCTGGACCACCCGGCCCTCGAGGAGCTGGACCTGTCACACAACCATATTGGAGACCGTGGTGCGCGTGCGGCTGCCAAGCTGCTGAGCCACAGCCGCCTGCGTTCGCTCAACCTGGCCAACAACCAAGTGCGTGCCCCTGGTGCCCAGTCGCTGGCTCACGCCCTGGCACACAACACCAACCTCCTTTCCCTCAACCTGCGCCTCAACTGCATCGAGGATGAGGGCGGCCAGGCACTTGCCCATGCCTTGCAGACCAACAAGTGCCTCACCAGGCTGCACCTTGGCGGCAACGAGCTGTCCGAGCCTACGGCCACACTCCTCTCCCAGGTGCTCTCCGTCAACACCACACTCACCAGCATCAACCTGTCCTGCAACCACATAGGACTGGTGAGCCGCAGCTCCTGAGATGGGCAGGAGAGGCCCTGGGGCCTTGGGGGTAGAATCCGGTTGTCTTGGGGTACTTACCAGGTGATTGTTAAGATCACAGCCTTACCTGGTTCAAATCCCAGCTCTGCTATTTAGCACTTGGGAACTCTGTTTTCTCATCCATAAAATGGGGATAATAGTAGTATCTACCTCTAAGTGTTGTTACTAGAAGGACTAAATGAGTTATACTTGTAAAGCAAGCAACCATTGCAGGCACTGGCCAGGTCTCCAGTAATTGCTAGTGTTACTATTACTCAGGGTTATATACTATGCTCAGTACCCAATGTCTACTAGCTTTCCTTTAACCTTCACAGTTATCTAGTAAAATGTTCCTTCTTAACCCCACTTTACAGATGGAAAATTGAGTCTCAGAGACGTTAGTGAGTTGCCCGAGAGCATCCAATCAGCAGAAAGTAGCAGTGCTGTGATTAAGCCCAGGACTTATAGAAAGTTGGGGTCCTTTCCAATAGACAAATGTCTCTCAAATTTTCTTGATCAAGTCACAGAGTAAGAAATGCAGTTTACATGACTGCCTAGGGAACATATACATGAATATCATATAATTGAAACTTGCTGTTACGGCTTGGTATATCTGCTGAGGTTTTCCTTTATAGTCTACTTTATTTTTTAAATAAATGCTTCTGTTTTACATTGACTTTGCCACATGCTATTGGGTCACAACTGTAGAACAGCAGCATTCTGCCTCCTGACATGAAATTCTTTCACATTAGGCCTAGTCTGCCCAACCCCAGAAGGGGGTGAAGCGGTGAGGAGGAGGGAGGGGGGCCCTCTGTGTACTCCAGTTAGGGCCCTGCACCTTCTACCAAACCCCCTGTAGAACAGTCTTGCTCACACTCACTGTCTTCAGAGGGGGTACACTTGGCTATAAGAAACAAAGAGCTTAGTCAGGAATTGGCTTAAGCAAGAGGAATATTCATTATGTCCCATTATCAGAAGCCCCAGGCGGGGGGTTCTGGGGTGGGAAAGTTCCTTGGCTCAGTACCAGCCTGTGCTCTGCCCATCCCAGCCACTTGGCCATGGCCTCTCTGGGCTCCTCCTGTGGCCCCAAAAAGTCTGCTTCAGCTCAGAGGACAGAACAGAGTAGAAAACGTCAGCGTGCTGCACAAATATGTTAAGTACTGTCTTGTGAAACTTCTGTTCCAGTCACATCTCTATATAAATGTGTGTATGAGTGTGTGTGTGATCCTGGGTAGTGATGGAACAAGTGACCCTTTCCTTGTATTCCTCTCCCAGGATGGCGGGAAGCAGCTCCTGGAAGGCTTGTTAGACAACAGGACCCTCCTGGAGTTTGACTTGCGCCTGTCCGATGTAGCCCAGGAGAGCGAATACCTCATTGGCCAAGCCCTGTGTGCCAACCGTGAAGAAGCCCGCCAGCGGGCCCTGAATGCCAGCCACTTCATGTCATCATTCATTGCCAAGGGCCCTGAGAACCTTGTGGGATAAGATAGGGGACAGGGCTGGAGCAATAACCAGACCCGAGTCACTGCCCCATCCCCACCCCTCATTTCATGCCCCACCAGGTATAAGGAGAGGCAGAGAGAACTCTGGGGGACTATGCCTGCCCAGACTCTCCCACGGGGCCACCTGTCCCTGACCCCCATCCTCACCACTTTCCTCTTTATTGAACAGATCTGTGACCTCTTCACCTACACACACACACGTCCATTCTCCCTGTCTCCAGTCCTGCTGCAGCAGAACTTTGCCTGGCTCTTCCACCCTCGCTCCTGCAGATGCCACCTCCCTATTACTTGACTCTGCTTAAGTAATCCATTTCTATAGGCCATGACATCCCCTAGCCCTTCCCCACAACCTGGGAAGGGGGAAACAGAGGTGACAGGAAGGACTCAGCCAGGCCTCCCCAGAGAGCTTCTCATGGGAGTGAGAAAGTGGAAGTGCCATGCCGGGAAGGGAAGTCAGTGAGTCATCCGAAACTTTATTTTCCACCGGTTTGATTTGTACAATCTTTGCGCTTGGAAATCCACGACAGAAAGGCCACAGTGTGATGCACCCAATTGACAGAGACCTGTCTTCTCCCCAGCCAGGCCCAGCCCACCCCACAAGCCCTTGTGCCCAGGACACATGGAGCCTTCCAGGTGCCCTCCAGGAGTCCCCATCACTCTGTGGCTGCCCACCCCGGAGCCACGCCCACAGAAATCACATCAACCCATGGGGCCTCAAGAGGACCTAATGGATTCCAGCCAAGCCCCATCACCCACCCTTCTCAGGCTAAGGGGCCCCAGAACCTCCAGATCTGTTTTCAAAGGGTGGGTTGTGGGCTACAATCACAGTCTCAGGGTGCCTGCTCTCTGGGGACTCCTTCCAACAAGCAGGAGCTGAGCAGAGCACCAAAGGGGGCTTGGGAGTGACTGCACCTGTGTGCCTGTCCCAGCAACCTAGAGTCTGTGCCTGACCCCCTCCAACAGTTCCAGAGTGCAGATGCGTAGGTGTGAGGGTGTGTGTGAGTTGTGTGTGTACATGGCCACAGCTGCTAGCAGAGGTTCTAATTAGAGAAACAAGAACATTCAGTGTAAAGTTTAATTTTAGAGATTAATTAATTTTCTGGTTTTCCTTTTCCCTGGCAATCAATAAAGCTACCAAGAAAATAGACAAAAGAATTGGTTTCTAAGTCTGTGCGTGTGTGGGAGGTGAGGCTGTCTGTGTGAGAAGACCTAGGCAGAAATGGTCAATACAGACAAAAGTAATAATAGGGCCCCCCTTTACTTCCTCCCAGCTCAGGCTCTGTCTCAGAAATGAGCCTGAGGGAGGAAGAGCTGAGTTCCTCCCTCCTCGGAGCCAGGAGGTGGCCAGGCTGCCCCCACACAAGGGCAAGACCTGCCAGCTGGCCAAGAACTGGGGCCTGAGGCCACAGCTCACCATCTGTACCTCACAGATGCCTGCTCAGAGGACAGAGGGGTGCTCCAACCGCCAGGCCCCCGAGGAGCACAGACTCAGGGTCCAGGCAGGCTCAGTGCTGGCAGGCAGGTAGGCACTGCTGCCCAGGGAATCATAATGGGCAGTTGTTCCCTCCTGCCCAAGCCTGCCCTTCTCCGGCCTCCTCTCCCTTCCCATTCAGCCATCACCACAGGAAAATAAAGCTCAACCACAATGGTCCCCACAATCTGTGCCTCCCAAGTTGCCCCCAGGAAAGGAGGGCAGGGGAGCCAGAGATGTTGCATAGGTGGAGGCCGTGCCCTTTGCAGGCACAGGCCTCGCTTGACTGGAGGAAGATAGGAGAGACTGCAGGAGGCAAAGAAGGACCTCTGATGGCTCAGGAGAAGTGAGAAGCATCAGGGGTGAGCAATGTCAGGCTTCCCAAGGGTTACGCTCTCCAGCTTAAAATATGAGCTCAATCCCTAGGCACTAAGTCTGCTGGGAAAACTTTAGCCGGGCGAGTTGGAAGGGGGGCAGGGTTGCACACAGACATGCACACTGAAGCACATCAGGGTGGGAGTGGTGGGGAGTGAAGGTGATGGTCAGAACTTCCAGGGAACAGGATGTGGGGCCAGGGCGCTGTGGTGGTGGCAGGGTGCCCCTTTGAAGACCCTGGGGGACACAGCAGGGCTTCTTCAGGATAGGGTAGGATGAAGGGGTGAGCAAGATTTAGAGAATTCCTGACTCTGACCCTGCCACTGGAATTGAGTTTTTCTCCAACTGCAACTTGTGACAATGTCCTCAGCACTGCAGAGGCAATGTGTGTGGGCTGCCCCCCTCCTTTGCAGGTCCTCTCACTCCACCTTCCACTGCCCTCTCCTCTGTCTCCCATCTGCTTCCAGGGCCCCGCACTGTCACTCAGGTCTCTCAATCTCCCCACTCAGTCATTCACCTTGGCCAGCTTTAAGGAATGCGGATCGGGTGGGATCTCACCCTCTCTGAAGGGGGTGCCCTCCCAGAACCCAGGCAAGGAGGCTGCTGCCCAGAGGACTGAGAAAGGACTGAGATACACTGCCCTGCCCCGCCCCACTGGCAACAGCTCTTCAGAGCCAGGAGCAGGAGGGAGGGAGGAGGGTGATGTCTGTGTGGTAAGCAGTCTCTCTGGGACCCAGGCTCCAGGGGACCAGTGAAATAAACAACAGTGGTGGGAGTGGCAGAAAGGAAACCCCCATCTTCGGGGTACTCTCCAACACGTCCACGGTTTGGAGATGGAGTACTGGTTTTGAGATTGGGGGGCTGACACCTGGCCCCAGCCTCATACCCACTGAATTCATTAGCTGGTTGGAAGCCAGCCCTGCTGTTCACCAAACCACCGCCCCCTCAGTAGAGAGAGGCCCTGGGGAGCCAGGCAGAGGAAGAAGGAAAGCCCCAATTTCCCTTCCCCACAGCTTCTGAACCTCCCCAGCTGCACCGCAAAAGCCTCTCACTCGAGACGAAGCCCAACGCGGGTCCCACAGCACAGTCGCACGTAACAGTCAGAAGACCCGTTGGAAGGCTGAACGGGAAATCTCGAGTGTGCGTGTAGGAAGGGAAGGGGTCCCCTTAGAAACTCAGGAGCTGAGGCGGCTCTGCCCCGGTGGGGTTCTCCAGGAACTGCCAAGCCCCCTCCCACCCATGTCTCTTTATGTACAGGGAAGGCGGGGGTCTCAGCCCCACGGGGCCTGTCCGGCTCCCCCTCGCCTCCCTCAAACCCCCTCCGTGCTCAGCACCGCCTACGTCATCCCCGTGACCCCCGCCCTGCTACAGGCGGGGAGCACGGTCCGGCAAGGGGCAGGAGGGAGGACAGGGGGGCTGCCGCGAGCCACTGGTCACAGTGAGGTCTCCACGCAGGAGCCGTGGCGGTGCAGAGGCCGGTGGCTGTGGCCCAGGCACCCCTCCTGCCGGTGCACTATGAGGACCGGGAAGTAGAGGGCGTCGTGGTAGGGCGGGGGCGGCCCGGCCTCCTCCTCGTCGTCGTCCTCGTCGTCCCCCATGCTGGCCTGGCTCGACAGCCGCGTCTGCTCCGTGGGGCAGCTCGCCTCGTTGAC